TCGGCGATTCCCTCAGATCGCGTCTTTGATAATTCACACTGCATGATTGTCACTCGCGTGAACGAGCACCGATTTGCCTCCGATTTCGGGCATTTGTCGGCGATTTCGCAAAACCTGTCTGCGAGTGAAAAATCGGGCTAAAATCGTGCAGTGTGAACTCGGCATAACGCTGCGTGTTTCTAAGCATTTCAGGGGACCTTTAAGTTTAGGTATTGGGTGGGATTAGAGATGTAGAATATGGTCACTCAGAATATGTGCTTTATAAGTACTAATAAGGCATGCTAATAAGCAACTTGTTAACAGTGATAATTGGTCCCTGTACTACTGTAATTATGAGATACTAAGTGATAATTATCACAATAAAAGTCAAAATTATGACATACTACTTCATAATTATGAGACATCAAAGTCATAATTATGAGATACCATAATTTCAACAAAAAAAGTGATTTTTGGTCAACGTTTTATTACATAATTATATGAAAGCCCATTTATGCCACATAAGAAAAACATTAATGCTTTGGTAAATCATAATAATGACATTTTAAGTCATAATTATGAGATAAAAAGACATGCATAATAAGTTGAAATAACAAGTCAGTAATAAGACAAATAACTTTCTCATAATTTTTTTCTTTTTATTTAATAATTTTTTTCTTTTTATGTCATAATTTCAACTTTTATGTCATAATTATGTGTATGTTATAGTTTAGACTTTTTACCTCATAGTTATGACTTAGTATCTCATAATTATGATATGATTTTTTTTTATGTGGTCAAAATGGGCTTCCATAAAATTATGACTTGTTATAATTTGAACTTATTTTATAATTTTGGGCTTCAATAGTAAACCCAAAACAATTAGATCTTTTTTTCTCGTTATAGACATGTGCAATATAGAATATTGGTTAGGCACTACAGTTAAAAAATGTTTTTATTTCACACTCATTTTTATTTAGTTTGCTTTAAGGGCTTCCGTGGTTCATTGATTTTTTTGATCATTTTGATACTTTTAAGGAGTTGAGTCTCATTTAGTAGATGGTTGAATGCTTTAGCTGCTAAACTTATGAATTGTGCTTCTGTTTTTCAGCTCCTGATGCCTCATATCCGGAGCACTCTTCAGATTAACATTCAGGCTAGAATCACTCTTCTGGCCACAAAAGGGGTTTTTGACAAGGTTGGTTTGTTTAATATTGTCTGTTTACTCTGTAAAGGAAGTGAAAGACAGAATAAATTTTTTCATTGTGATTTAATCTCATTTTAAATGTTTTTTGTTTCTGTTCTCTATAGTCAATTGCCTGTGGTCTGGAGGCAATACCACTGCTGCTTGCACGAGGAACACAACGTCTCCGCTACAGCTCAATGTGTGTGCCAGATGACGTAAGAGTGCGAGGACTGGATGCACTACCTATCTGCTATTATGCACAAGATGCACTCAGGGTCTGGGATGCTCTACATAGGTACTTTCATCAGCATTATCTGAATCAGAGTCCTCTTTAGGTTTGAAGTAAGCACATGATTTGCGTTTGCCATTCAGGTTTGTTGCAGGTTGGATTCGTTTGTATTACTGCAATGATGAGGACGTCCAGCATGACTGTGAACTACAGAACTGGATTGGGGAGATCTTCACGGAGGGATTCCTCGGCCTCAGTCACATAGGTTCAAGAAGAGAACTGTTACAAATGTTGTTCTTATGCATAAGGGTCAATCACATGACACACATTTTTGTCTTTTAATTTATTCAAAAACACTTTTGGAATTAAAAATAATTTTGAATATTTTGGGGGGCCACAAAATGTTAGGCTGATTCTGTCCTGATATCATCATGAAGACAAAAGGAAAAATAACACTGAGCCAAGCACACATGCTAAAATAACAACAACTTACTGACACATAGTAAGAAATGGTTATAAAAAACTGAAACAGAAGTGAAACAAGTAGTAGGAAAAAGCTGCGTTAAAAGAATTCAGTTCTTGAAAAGAAAACATTTTAAACAATTTGGCGTAATCTTTTATTATTATTTCTTAAGAAATGTTTCTTAAAATATCCACTAATTTTACCTTTTTATGACAAGGCAAGGCTAGTTTAGTTTGTAACGTCATAAGGTGTGACTCCTCAAAAACATAATGATTTTAATGAATTAATAATTTTGGGAAGGCGTAAAGTTAAAAAATGTCAGCGTAATTCTAACCTAAAAGAATGAAAGTAGTTTAGTTAGTAGTTAAGTAGTTTGCCATAATCTTTTATTCTTTTTTCGGAAACTTCTCTGGAGAAAAAAAAATCAGATAATTTGCAATTTTTATGACAAGGCAAGGTTAGTTCAGGTTATAAAATGTAATTTGGTGTGACACCCTAAAAACATAATGAATCAATAATAAACATTATGAATCAATAATATAAAAAATGATACCTTGAAAAGTATATTTTACAACATTTACTTTTACACATTTACATTTAAGGTGTGAGGAAAATATTTCACTCGCATGTATTTAAGGTGTAAGGAAAGTGTTTTATTTTGTTTTACTTAATGATTATACCACATTTTTAGAGTCTTCTAAAACACATGAAACAAACAAAAAAAATGCTTTATCATTGACCCTTGAACATGTCATTGACCCATACAATTTCTGTCTCATCTACTTAATATATTCTTCATAGAGAGAAAAAAAAATGCTTAAATTAATCTTTGCTTTCCCTTCATATGTTCTCCAGGAGCTCCACAGTCATTTCAGACCGCAGGCGAAATGTGCAAGTTTGTTACCATGGTGATCTTTTCCTGCTCAGCTCTTCATGCAGCTGTGAACTTCTCTCAGGTATGTTCAGTTATTAATAATCTGACGGAGGTGTTCAGGAACAGCATATTATGTCCACTTAGCTCATTCAAATTCACTAAACTCATCTCAACCCTCATCTCCACATTTAGCTGGATTATAACATTTGGATACCGAACAGTCCAGCGGCCATGTCACGTCCACCTTCTCAGACCAAAGGCTCGGTGTCTGAGGAGGATATTTTCTCCTTCCTTCCTGAAGTGAACTCCTCTTGCCACGTCCTTAGTGTCCTGTCTCTACTGTCACAACCTGCCATTGACTTTGTAAGTGATAACACAATCTCCAGAGTAACGCTGCATGGAATTTACACTGAATATTTACTATAGGATGCAGACATGATGTTCATCTAGCCATTACTTTCTCTTTAGGTGCCCTTGTGCCATTATAATGAGTGGTACTTCAGCAGTGGTGCAATTGTCAAGCTTGTGGAGGAGGTCCGGAGAGAGCTGAAAATGTTAGCAAAAGACATCGCAGATAGGAACAGCCAGCTGGAATTGCCCTATCCTTACCTGTCTCCAGACTGCATTGAGAACAGTGTGACTATTTGAGTTCAGTGTCGAATTGAATCATTAATTGTATCTGTAAGGCCACTTATTTGCAGAACTACAACTTGGTGTTCATTTGCCACTATTTTGTATACTCAATAACTTGTATTACATTTGAGTCTGCATTTTATAGGTATGCATCTTAAGTCAGAGTAGAGGTAGGTCTTTTGTCTCAGTTTTAACTATAATTACATTTACATCTTTAAGCATTTCAAGTTTGATATTCAGGGCTTGGTTTTACAGCAGGCTATACTGTTGATTAAGAATTAGCTTTTTTTTTTTTTACAGGTTCATATAATGAATAAATGCATCACTCAGTTTAATTCAAAATGTAAGATAATGCCAAAAGAAGGTTTTAACCTGTTTATTTCCTGATAGCACATATACATCACGGAGACGTCTATTTGATGCGTTTGCATCTGAAAGATGTCTTTTTTAGAGCGTTTGCTCATCTGCAATACGTCTGTTTGATGTTTCCTATCAGATGTCAAATAGACGTTTATTAGATAGCGCTGGAAAGCTGATCCGATATTTACACGGGTCCTACTTCTTGCCTTATCGTTCCGCAGACGTTTTCCTCTTTTGTTTTTTATCCGCCATCTCTATCTTTCTGTCGCTCGGCTCGGCTAATGTCCGTCCCATGCACTGAAAGCTCTCTCTCTCCTCCACATCACGAGTAGACACGCCCCTTATTGCTGATTGACTACAAGTTTGTTTTGTTATTCGGCCGAATCAGTTTTCTAAAGTGTTTTTGAAAAATCACATACCCTGCCTTTAACAGACATCTTGCAGACATACATGTGCTATCTGGGTTCATTAGAGTTACCATAACAGAAAATGTGCAATTCTGGAAATTTCTTGAAAAAGTTTTAGAATAAAATTATATTTAATTTAGTTAAAAGTTTAAAGCATTAAATAATATTTTTATGTGTACCTTTTTTGCATGATTTGACAAAATTGCAAGGTTTTTGGAAATGAGGCATAATAAAAAATATTTCTTTCACAAGAGAGATTTACATTGATTTTTCTTTGTTCTCTTCACCCATCACATTTCATATTTCATCTCAAGCAAGTTCTTTGTTGAAACTAGGGGATGGGACAAGTGTAGAAAAAAATCTGTGCATAAATTGCTTTTTAAAATAACAAAATAAATCATTAATGAAGTTATATTCAAATCGTTTTTATATGACCTCCAAAAAATAAAGAATTCTATACATTTTAATAAAAATACTACATACAACTGGCTGAAAGTGAAGAAACACTCAGAAACATGTATTGTGACATTGAACTAGGTCTCGTTGCGTGTCGTCCAGGGCACAAGGGGCGGTAGTGTTCAGGAGACCTGTGTGGAAACAGTCAGCACGCAGGTCCTTTTGGTGGCGCACTTTTCTATCCTGCGTCCCATTTCCAACCGTCATCCAACTGTTGACACCTGTTCATATATCTAAAACCATTTTAAGGTCAGTTTGTGTAAAAACGTATTGATTGCATGGGTTAATCTAACCACTTAATAACGCTTATGAGGTGAAAGTATTTCTATGAATAATCCATATTTGTAGTAAGGTCTCGACACTCAAGCTAGTTTGCTTTTAAATATTGTTACGCATGTAGTAAATACATTCCAATTTAGAGCTAATATTGTTAGAATCTACAATATAAGTCAGCTTTAACTTTGTGCAAGTCATATTCCCAGATAGCACACGTACGTCGCGGGGACGTCTGTGCGATGTGT